AGGTCCCTTACAATACAAACCATGTTATATTTCTATGATTCTAGGACATGAAACGTTTTCTCAGATCATATTTTACTTTAAACCTCCCTTCAGTCAACAAAAATATATTCTTTATGCAGTATTTTAACATGATATATGAAGTGCATTGTAATAAGTAATGATACATTTGTTAATTTGAATGATTGGTGTCTCTAATTGGCCAAGACCTCTGCAAATGACATCACATCTTACAGACACTACTGTACTGTAGTGTCTAAAGGTAATACCAAAATAAAACTGAAATATTTCCATTGCTGACTGGCAGTTTGCCTCCTAGTCAAGTAATTTTTTTCATTACTTTGATATTAAGTTTTTAAGTAGAACCATAGAATAGTCTGAACTGGAATGGACTTTTGAAAGGTGAATAAGTCCAAGCCCTCTGCAATGAGCAGGGGCATCTTCAACGAGATCAGGTCAGCTCAGACCTAGCTCAGAGCCCTGTCCAAGTAAACAGGTGCACAGAAGTGTACAGAAATCACCTATATGCATGTGAAAACATGACTACAAACCATTTCCCTTACAAGCATACCCTGACACAGCTTTTTATTCTCTAGATAATTTTGTATGTGAACTGTTTCTGCAATAGGAAAAAATGGTAATTGGATTTCTGGTGTGTCTGTCAACGTCTGGGCATAAAACTGAAAAATAGGGGGAATAAAATTGCAAAAGTTGCAGTTGCTTCACCTCTTGCCAAGTGTTTGTGGTTAACTTGCCAACTGTTACTCTTACCCAACACAATTCCTCAAGGAAACAAAGGTGCATGGTTAGTTTTTATTGTCTGTAAGATTTTATGTGTAAGTACTGTAAAGGGCTTGGCTTTAACACTGGGCATCCTTGGCCCTGTTTAATATAAATTTCACATGGTCACAGTCCCATCCAGGCCATCAGAAAACCTCTGCCTGGATAAGAGGAAGGGAGAAGCAGAGGAGGGATGGAGCACCTTTGGCAGAACTCCACAAGATTTTTGGGTCATGGCTCTTAGGGTGGACAATCTTTCCATCCCCATCCGCAGCTCCTGTTCTTCTGAGCAAGAGACAATCAAACACTCTTAATTATTATGGTGGGATCAGCATTTTGTGCAATAATCCAGTGCTGAGGAGCTGCTGTGCCTGAAGCAGGTGGGATATGCTCCAAAGGGAAATGTCCTCAAAGGAGGCTGCTCTGCCTGGAGCAGAAACGTCTTTCATCCTTTTAAAATCACAATGTTTGAGTAATTTTACCAAGATCACCTTCCAGAGAAGAAGGAGAATCTTATCTCCACCTTAGGAGTTTGTATCTAGCACAGAAGATTAAACAATTAGGAGCAAAAAAGAGAACCTCAAACTCTGGTCCTAGTAGTTTTCTCTTGAAAATAATAAAAAAGGAAATATTAGGTATGTCTTTCACAAGTGTTACCCCTAACTAAAGTGCTACAAATTGTATGCAAAATGTATTTTATCAAGCTCAATACTTCATTGATTATGCAGTTATCTTGAATAAACAATAAGATTAACATATGCATGAACAATTCTGGCTCCATCTTTTGACCTGACATCTAATTAAAGGTACTGGGGTACAAGGGCAGAGTCCCCTTTCTTTTTTGAGAACCAGAATGTGACTGGCAGTGATGTATGTGTGATCAAAGCTCCTTGACACAGGCCAGGTACTCCAAAGTTTCTCAAATTCAAACAACCTTTGTAAACCAAATCAAATTTTCTAGACAAATCTGGTGGGAGTAATCTCACCAAATTTCAGATATCCTTAAAGGAAATATCAAAGTAAAAACTATTTTCACTGCTGTTCCTTTATGGATAATGGAGAGAAACTGTTCTACAGACTTCTAATAGACATTTGCAGTAAGATTGTTAGAAATAAAACACAGAAGTAACAGAAGGGATAGAAGAAACCCAGAAACATTGCAGGAGGAGGTATTTTGCACTAAGAGCCACAAGCACTAATTCTCCAGAACAACACAAGTGGCAGCTGTGTCTCTCACAGAGCCAGAATTTGCTCTTCAGAGGGTTTTTCTAAATATGTTCTCGCCTCTCCAAACCCACCCAGAAAGTCATTAGGAGTCCAAACCATCCGAGTTTGATAACATATTTCACTGGGTACTGTTGTGACTGTTCAGCAACTGCTTTTGAAGAGATAACAACCAAATCACTATGTTGAGCACCCATAACTCTTAGGAATATATTTTTTTACTCTTTCCCTTTTTTAATATTTTTTCCCTGTTTTTTGTTGCTGATATGATTCAAAATGCTCCCGGTTTTCCTTTGCATAAGGTCCACTCAGAAGCAAAATTTCTCAGATGCCTCCAGGCCCTCTGAAGGAAACATCCAGAGCTATCTTGGCTTTATCTACACTGTTAGGCCATGAGGGCAAGGAAAAGAGACAGAAGCACAGATTCCAGCCCATATTTCATTTCTTGCAACAAGAAAGGTAAGTCCACTTTGCAACTGCAATGACTGCTCCTTTTGGTGCTGAGGGGTCCTTATTTGTTTAATTGCAGAATGGTTTGGGTTGAAAGGGACCTTAAAAATCATCTCAACCCAAGAGCAAGGACACCTTCTACTATCCTGGGTTGCTCCAAGCCCTGTTCAGCCTGGCCTTGGACACTCTCAGGGATGGGACAGCTACAGCTTCTCTGGACAACCTGTGCCAGGACCTCACCACCCTCACAGGGAAAATGTTTCCCTCTTTCCCTACAAAGAATCACCAGAGGTTCGACCACGTGAATGTCACCATAGCTGATTTTATTAAAGGAGAAGAAAGAAATAGTTTCCACAGTGTTGTCTGGTTCGTGTTTGTGGTGTTTGCTTCACTGCAAGGGAGGATCATGACAGCTTTTCATTGCATCAGGAACTGGTGCCACCAGGAGCGATGGGATCAGGGTGATTCCCAGAAGCCATTCAATAAAAGCAGGAAGGATTTCCAAGGTGAATCCAGGGACTCTTCAGCTACTCCACCCCCTGCACGAAGAAGAGAGAGTCTCTCTACCCACCTGTAGGTTTTCTGCCCAGATGTTCTCCTTATCTCATGACATCAGAGCAGAGGCTGCCGTGGGATGTGAATTCCCCCTCTATGCCAGCAGGTTTGGCACCAGAGAAGTGAGACAGGTGGCAGGAGCTGTGCCTCTAAGATGTTGCTCTGGAGGAAAAATAAGAGGATATGGACCATTCCCACAGAGATCCCTGCATTTCTACTCACCTTCTGCAGCAAGAATATCCATTGCTACATGTTCCAATCCAGTAATAAGGGCGACGGCAAATCCCTGGGAAGCAGCGTCCGTTTTGGGTAAAACAAGAATTGTCTAGCCTAGGAAACACTTGTCCTGCACAGCACAAAGAGAAGAGTCATTTACCAGGAAAGTGATCAAAAGAAAATACAGTCTTCTTCTTTACTCCCCTCACTCCTTACCTGCAGCTCCTTGGAGCATCAGGAAAAGGACAACCAGGAGAATGTGAAGGATCCTCATGGCCACAGCTGGGATGTGGATTCTTTACCTGCACTGAGCAGAGAGCACAAGGTTGAACAACACTGGACAGAGGATTCCCTTCTGACCAGGAGATGATGATTAAAAAATGACACTAAAGCCAAAATCTCTGTCCAGTGGATTTGGACAAAGAACAGAGTGAATACCTCAGTCATGGAGGTATTAGCAATTTCAAGGAATGCATCTCTAATCTGACCTGATTAGTACCACTTTAAGCACAGATTCAGACTAGAAACTCCTGGATTAGCTCAGAACCTAAGTTATTCTGGGATTCTATGCTGTTTTGGTGCTTGTTTTCCTTTTTTTCTTCTTTTAATTTTGGTTTTACTTCAGTGAAAAAATGATAGCCCAGATCTCTTCAGCATCAGCAGGTAACTCTGGTACCAGCATAGGCCCACAAATTATCCCCCTTCCACATATTGAAGTACACAAAGAGTTCAGAGAATGAGCCAATCTTAATCCTTAAGAAAGTCTAAAAAAGATATCTCTATCTTTTCAATACTAATTAAGGTAACAACTCAAAATATTACTGCATTCAGTCAAGACGTGGCTCAAAATGCAAAGCTCAGCTGCTGTGCTGGCTGGGTGTCTGTTTCTGGAGTAAAACAGACATTTCTGCCTCTGATGTCTCAGGGGAGAGTTCCCAGGTCTCTGTTCCTCTTGGAGAGCAGCAAACCCAGTGCCCTCCTGGAAGCCCTGCAAGCAGCCAATCCGTGGTGATACAGAACATGTATACACAGGAGGAGTAAAGAGAGGGAAGGCGTTAATCAAAGCAGAAACCTGAGACTGATGAAAGGAAAGGTTAATAAAGAGGAAGAGGTGAGGGTGGGTCTCCAGAACCAGGCAGAGTTACCCGAGGAGAAGGTGGAGGATTACTGCTGCCCCTGTTCTCCTGTAGATACACCAAGACCCAAATGCCTATAAAAGGTTGGGGATGAGCCAATGCAGCCATTGGCCAATGAAAAAAAGTCTTTTCCAGCCTGTGTTTTGTTCCTTCCAATGAGAAAGAAAGGTCCACTTTGAAACTGCTTTCACCACAGAGCCCCTGATCTTTGTGCAACCCATCCGAGTTTGTGTACAGCACGTTAGACCACAGGGTGATGTAAAATACCTGGAACATGCACTGAGTGCTCCTGACCCTGAGGGCTCCTTAGCTGTAGAATCCCAGAATCATTTGGGCTGGAAGGGACCTTAAAGGTCATCCAGTGCCACCCCCTACCATGGGCAAGGACACCTTCCACTATCCCAGGTTTCTCAGAGCCCTGTCCATCCCAGCCTTGAACAGGGAAAAATTTCCTCTCCTTCCCTGGAAAATAATCACTGGCAATGTCACAAGCTTCTCCTGGTGTTGCTTTACAGATCTTCTGGACCAAAGAACCAGGACAACCAGAAATCTTGATGCCTAGGAGGGATCTCCAAATTACATAAGGAAGAGGACAAGAGTGGGCTGTGGAAATCTATGTGGATTTTAAGAAATCTTAGTGCTGGGAATATCTTCCTCAAGGTATATCTGCTTTACAGCTGCTCGAGTGTCCTGAAAAGGCAGCTCAGATATTCACCTTCAGGTTAGAGAAATCAAGGATTTGTTCCCAGATGGGCCAACTCTACATGGGATAAATCACAGCTTTAAAATGCAGTCAGGGAAGCACAGATAAATATTACTGGTGCTTTGGAGAGGTAAAGCTCAATTTCTGCTCTCTGGATCTCCAAGAAGCACTTTTATCCTTGTATTTCCAGGGTTTTGGAAGCAGCTGACAAACCCTGTTTGCTTGTGCCTTCCCTGAGCTGGGGGGTCTTTGTTGTGGGAGAGGTGCAATTCCCAAAGGGAGTAGGGGCAGCTCACTCCACATCACTGCTCAAAATCCCCAGCAGGATTTCCAGGCAGAGTTTGGCCAAGTCAGGTCTGGGCAGCTTTCCACAAGGCTGTCCAAGGTCACTGGATGGACAGCAGGGCTGCTCCCACATGGATTTCATGCCATTTTCTGCCAGGTGTGGAGGTGCTGTGAGGACAAACGTTGGGCAATCGTACCAAAGGTCTGTCATCCTTCCTGTCATTTGCACAGAGGACGCTGGAGGAAGAGGATGGCAGGGAGAAGGTGAAGGATCCTCATTGCCTCAAGTGTCTGGGGACATCCCATTGTCACAGGTAAGCTGAGGTGACACAAGGTTTAACACAATGGCCTTCATGCCAGCTCCTAGAGTGATTTAGGGTGGTCTGGAGTGGCTGAGATCTCCTGGGATTCATGGAAAAGGATCAGGAGAGAGGAGAGCAAGCCGGGGAGGAGGGATGGGACACAGGGACGTCTCAGGAGCACTGGTCTAAGTGTGGGCAAAGGAACTGAGGCCTGAATGTTTACTGGGAACAAAGTCTGTGATGCGCTGAGTGATAAAAAAATCAACTGGGATTTGGAGGAGTCCTTCCACATATTGATTTTAACAATATTTTACGTATAACTATATCTATGTTAGAATGCATTTGCTAGGAGGGCTATAGGAGAGTAAGAAATACCATTACAAAATTTGTCTATATTAAAAAACAATTACTGAAATTAATATCCTGACTATTCCTGAGTAAGTAACACATTAGAATACCCAGTTAAAATATTCTTTATTTGCATGTTCTTTAGCAAAGATAAAATATAAAATAGTTGAGTAAATCCAGCCTTTGTTTCTCATGGAATATTTATAGATTATATGTACAGGCATACAGATATATATTTATGCTTGGAGAACATAATTTTGGGGGCTCCACAAAATGTCCCTTACAGTACTCCAGGAAAAGGGAACTAAGACATTTAGTAGTCAAAATGTTTTCTGGATGCAATATTAATTGATTTGCAATATTCATTCTCTAATTGCATCTGTTTAACTGCCAAGAAATGTATCACTTTTGTAATCATGAGTGGCCAAAACAATGCTTAGAGTAAATAACAGTATATTGGAATTAAGAGTTTAATTATAGTATTTAAGATATTTAAAGGAAGTTTTCCATCAATCATAAGAACAAATTGAATAAATTAGTTTAAGATTCAAATCCTGATACTGAGCCTGGATCGGTTTTGTTCCACTTTGGGCAGGTGGCACATGCACAAAGTGGAAAAGTGGGAAGAAAGAATAATTTTATCCTATTTTAACTTCATTTTCAGGAGGTTACCCCAAAATCTCAGTTCAGAGCTCTGTGCCTCTAAAAACACATGTGTACATTCAATAGTCACAGTGTCTATTTCTGCTTCTTTACAATTCATCACTTGAGTTATTTAAATTTTTGTGGGTTTTTTTTAAAGAACAAAATCAAAACCCAAATAACAAATAAATGCTCTTTGATATTGTAAAGCAAATATATATATTCTTCCAATTAAATAATACATGAATGGGATTTAAATATATGTCTTTTTCTGGGGAGCCTGTTCAGTGCCCAACCACCCTCTGGGTGAAGGACTTTTCCTGATATCCAACCTAAACCTCCCCCAACTCAGCTTCATTCCATTTCCTTGAATCCTGTCAATTTGATTTAGAGCAGTGACTGGTTTCTTGTCCATCACAGGAGTCCACAGCAGACTGCAGAGCAGGGAGGGCTTTGAGTCTGGCCTGTCAGAAAACATCATTCACTCACATATCAGCGCTGGGAATCAAAAGACATCAGTATAATTAAGGAGAAAAATCCATTAGCCCCCCGCTGTCAGAATAATTTCCATACTCTTCACTGAAGAAGGGGAGGGGAATTGCTGGAAGAGAATTTCAGTATTAGCTCTTCATTGCCATCTTCTGGGAGAGACCCGAGTAGGTGAATGCTCTTTGAGGTACAGGAATGTTAGTTTTTTTCCCTGGTTTCTTGGTGGTATGGCAATGAAAACAACATCTGGGCTCACAGGTGCCTTTGGGGCTCAGGTTAAATCAGTGCTGCTCCAGTTTTTGCAGTCCAGATCCTCTGAGGGCACACATTTGACCAAAATATTTTTGTGGAAGTTGTTTCCTTTGGCCGCCTGGAATCAGAAAGGCTGTGTGGAGGTGGGTGCTTCCCTGGAATTAATTATCCAAACATAAATATTTTTCTGTGGGACAAGCAGAACACAGATGTGGCAAATCCATGAGAATGAAAGAGGGACCAACAGGTCAAGGCAGGGCAATCTGCTCTTGTGATGTCCTAGCTGGGGTCCCCAGGATAAGGACATGGACCTGCTGGAGAGTCCAGAGGAGACCAAGAAGATGCTCCAAGGGCTGGAGTCCCTCTCCTCTGGAGCCAGGCTGGCAGAGCTGGGGGTGTTCACCTGGAGAAGGATCCAGGGAGAGCTCAGAGCCCCTTCCAGAGCCTAAAGGGGCTCCAGGAGAGCTGGAGAGGGACTTGGGACCAGGGCCTGAAGGGACAGGACACAGGGAATGACTTCCCACAGCCAGAGGGCAGGGATTGGAATTCTTCCCTATGAGGGTGGGGAGGCCCTGGCACAGGGTACCCAGAGAAGCTGTGGCTGCTCCTGGATCCCTGGAAGTGTCCAAGGCCAGGCTGGAACTTGGAGCAACCTGGTATAATGAGAGGTGTCCCTGCCCATGGCAGGGGTTAGAACTGGATGAGTTTTAAGGTCCCTTCCAACCCAAACCATCCTGGGATTCTAGGATGAACACAGAGGGCTTTCACTGCATTTCAAACGGGAGATTAATTCCAAAATCTGAGCTTCCCAAATTCAGCTGTTACGGGGCTGTGGATGCATCTGCAGGCTCCAGAGACAGCCCTGCAGGGTTTGGTCCCCTCTGGATCTCCGCCTGTGTGTCCCAGGCCATCATTTCCCCCCGGCCAAGAGGGATTGATGCATTGGGCACACATCTGGGCGGTGTGAGGCGTTTTGGGAAGAGCCAGCTCATGTTCCAGGGAAAGGGGAGGGAGCTCACAAGAGGTCACTGTCCCCCATCAGCTGCTGGGAAGTGACATTTCAGCTGCTGGGAATTGCTGTGGCAAGTCCATGTCCTTGGCCAGCTGCTCTGTGGCAGCTCTGTCACCCACAGAATATATAAAACCAGTTGTGCTGGGGTGAGACATCACTCTGTGAAGATCTCCTGGAGTGGAACCAGGTAGGACCCACTGGCCCCTCTCTCCTCAGGTCCTCTTGGGTGAGCTAAAGGTGAAGTTTTCACACAAATTTCAACCAAAGAGGAGAAAACCACCTAATTTTTGATAAAATTTGTTGCTCCTCTAAAAAGAAATTAATCATCCAAGACGTAGAATATTGCATCTTTAATTAAATCCCCATGAATATCTGAAATGGTCAGTGCTTGATGTTTCAGTAATGCATTTGGCTGATTGTTATACTCAGTGATGGTGATTCTTAATTATTAAATTAGTTGGTATTATTTTCCAAAGGTAGCTGGGATCTTCAGAGAGAAATGATGGTGGAGAGACAATCCAGGGCCTCCAGGATGGATAGATGGCTACATAGATTTTTTATAAAGATATTTCAAGGAGTAATTGCTGGCTTGTAAAATAAAAAAAAAATAGCATTATTTGAGTAATTAAAGCTTTTGAGTGTTTATATTCAAACAAATTGGAAAGGATTACATTATTAATTAAATAAAACAAATGTTTTAGTCATGAAGTAACTTGCTTTTAACATGAAGCACTGTTGTATGGGCTGCCATGATTAAAGCTAACTCCATCCCAGCCAGACTCAGCAGAGTTGCTCAAATAAAAGAAAAATAATGAAAATATTTATCATCATAAATACATTTAATCAACCTTATACAGGATGCTTTCAAGTTTATTTTTCCTTAAAAACTGTTATTTCTATAGATTCATTCTAGAACATTTAATCTATCACATAAATGCCAATTTTATTTAAGAATTGAAGCTAATTTGTCGTTAATAGTGTTTGTGGTGGGTGATGACAAATGCAGGTAAAATGCATGACTTTTTTTTTAATTTTTCTTAGCATCTGTTATATTTGGTAGCACTGAATTTGGACATGAAGATCTTTTCCTTTTTCTTTGCTATCCTCCTCTTAATGCTCCAGGGCACTTCAGGTAAGAGTTAAACAAACTCTAAGGAAATGCAGAGGGAAAACTGTGAGAATGGAAAAAAAAAATGGGAATAGAAATAAAACCAGAAATAAGAGGAATTGGAATAAAAAGAAATAGAAATAGAATTAGAAATAATAGAAATAATAGAAAAAGAAATATAAATAGAAAGAAATATAAATAGAAATAATAGAAATAAAAATAATAAAAATAATAGATAAATAATAGAAAAATAAAAAATAAATAGAAACAGAAACTAGAAATAGAGCTAGAAATAGAGCTAGAAATAGAGCTAGAAATAGAAATAGAAATAGAAATAGAAATAGAAATAGAAATAGGAATAGAAATAGAAATAAATAGAAATGGAATTATAAATGGGTTTAGTCCCTTTTGCCCAAAGTGCTGCCATGGTGTTGCGCACATTTTTAGCAGTGACCTGACACCAAATGGGTCCCTTGGATTCACTGAACCTTCTCAATTTGGAAAATAAGGGAATTTAAAGGTGTGGAAGTGGCCAGCCTGCAGGTAAACTTCAAGACTGCTGCCATGCTATAACCTGAATTGTTCCTGGTCTTCTTTGGGAAGGCAAATCTCGACTCTGCATTGTTTTATTTTTCATTCTGCCCAGGTTTCCTGCGTGCCCCCAACACCGAGGTGCAGTGCAGGCAGGCTGGGGGGGTCTGTTCCAGCGACCGCTGCCCCCCACCCCACACGAGACCCTTTGGGCGCTGCCAGCAGGGAATTCCCTGCTGTAGGACCGTGGTGAGTCCAGGATGTGATGGATCACACACCCACAGAAGGGCTTGGGTTGGACAGGGCCTTTCAAGGTCATCTGTTCCACCCCCATTATCATGGACACCTTCAACATGATCTGGTTGCTCCAAGCCCCGACCAACCTGGCCTTGAACATTTTCATGGATTTCTTGGGGTTTATTATTCATTTATTACACATTTTTGTACATCTGCTCTGCCCTTTGGAGGGAAAATTCCTCCAGCACAAGCTGGCAAAGAGCAGAGACGGTGCACACTCAGATTTCCTGAGGATTTCCTCATTCCTCACTGCTTCCCTCTGTAGCATTAATGGTGCAGCTCAAGTGCCTCGTGGGAAAGATCACGGTGAAACCTCTTTGGCAGAGAGAATTAATTAGCCAGAAATGAACTCTTTTTGCTGCTGTTCCCATTAGCTGGTTCAAGCTGCTCATGATGAGTTTTACTGGCTTCAAAGGACACATCTCTCAATGTGTACTCTGTCCTGAAACCTGGTATTTTTGGGTCAGATTCATAGGAAGCTGCATGTTTCACCTTGCAAAGGCTGTCTGGTCCCAGAGTCAGAATAACAGCCTGAAAGTCATGTTGTTCTCCCAGATTTTTTTTTTCTACAGTTCCATAAACTTCTTCTTCTTCTAGACAAAATCAAAATATCTGGTCTAGTGAAAGGTGTTGGGAGTTGGAACTAGATGGTCTTTTAGGTCCTTTCAAATCAAAATAATTCTTTAATTCTGTGATTAATTTATTCTTTTTCCCCTCAAATTCTTTACTGGAATCCTAAAGTTGACCCCACATCTTTATTCCTGTATGAAATTGCAGCAACAAATATTTACACTCTGCCTCCACTGATTCTAACATTTCATTTTCTGATTCTTTTTTTCCCTGTAAAATGCTGCAGACTCCTTTATATTTGGAGTCTCTTACTTAAACTCTGCTCAATATTAGTAGCAAGAGATGTTAAAAAGAAAACTTGAGCAGCAGAAACTCTTTTCCATAACGAAAATTCCAAGAGGAGGAGGAGGAAGCTTCAGGAACAGATTGTAGTCAATTCACTATTAATTAAAGTAGAAAATCAATTTATTATTAAATTTCAGCGGCAGCAGGTCTGTGAATATCCTGAAGAGTTGGATTCAGGAATATCAGCCCTTGGTGCTCATTCAATCCATTCTGTGCATTTTATTTAATTCCTTTCCTGGTTGTAAGGACAAAACCTAAGAGTTTCTTCCCTTTTTTTTTTTTTTTGCAGTATGATTAGTGACCACTGACATCACAGATGGGCTATCCAGAGCTTCTGGCAATTTAAAGGGTGTATCATCTCACTGGAAAATCTGGAATTTTGAGCAGAAAATATGCATTTGACACATGCAGGCACACGCCACAATGTGGAAAACAGAAAGAGAAAAAAACCCTCCACAAACAGCTTTAATGACCCGAAGAAACTCCAAAGCAATTCTTGAAAATACCAATATTTTTCATTTTTAGAAATGTTTTGCTGCTGAAATTTTGTCAACCAGCATCTGTCCCAGAGGTCACCAGCATGCAGGAGTATGTGTCCATGAGAGGATGCAAAGTTCTTCCTTTGGCCCTCAGAACAGCTATTATTGTTATTATTGTTATTATTTTATTTTCTTTTAGGAGTCAGCAATAATGTGAGTAACACCAGAATGCTCAGCTAAGGTGTTTATATTTCATAGTCTACACATCTCAATAAATTTTAATAAACTTGCCCTGGAAGATATATGTTTGATCGTTATCCCTGTAAAGAACAATCTCCTTTTTCCTGTGAGGAATTCTCTTGCTGTGCATTTTTGTTGGAGGGTTTACCTGGAAGCAGTTGAGATGTGCCCTGTGGTAAACTTATCCAAGAAAAGGGGTGGAAAACAAACCCATGTGACAGGAATAGGTCCTTGTCCTAATCATTATTAATTTGACCAAGAATAACTTCAAGGCCAGGTTGGGCGGGACTTGGAACAACTTGGGACAGTGGAAGGTGCCCGTGGCATGGAACTGGATATCTTTAAAGTCCTTTCCCCCCCAACCCATTCCATGATTCCATGACGCTCCAAACCCAGTGTGATGAGGCCAGTGCAGAGCTGGCACAAACTGATCAGGCTGAGCACCCACAGAAGTCCTGAATCCATCCAGGAGCTCATGGCATGGACACTTTGGGTCACCCCCTGTCCCAAATCCTTGCAGCCTTTGCATTGGGGATGGGAAAGGAGGGGATGAGTCTTGGTGATGAGAATCCAGGCTGATGGACACACAGCCCACTGCCTCCAGACAGAGCAGTGCAGGGAAAAACAGTCTGACCAGCTTGGGATCCAGAGAAATTAAATTCCATGGACGTGATGCTGGTCTACACTAACTAGAGACAGCAGGAGCAGAATCTTGTGAATGTGGTCACACAGCTTCAAGTCCTTCTGCCACCCTGGGGCCTCTCTGTATTCCAAATATTTCAGGTTGAGCTGGCAGATGCAGCCCTGGAGAGGAGCAGAGGACTGAGCCTGTCTCCTGAATCCCAGCTCTGGGCTGGAATAGGCTCTAATGCTTTTCCAATTAATAATATAAATGTTGCTACATAAATCACTGCAACACAGGGTGATTTAACAGGCCTTGATGACACATGGATTTACTGCAGTTAAATAAAACTCATTTACAGGCTGATTTTTATAGACAGTAAAAACAAAATCCACCCTGACATACATGAGCAAGTATCAGCAACGTGGTTTCACAATAACTTGTTTTTATTAGAATTGAAACTGCAAATATTTTTATTGGACAAGAACTCCTCCTCAGATGTTCTTGTGCTCCTGAGGGCCTCCACCCCCAGGGAAAGGCTCCCCAGGGCACCGAGGACAGGATCCATCGATGTCAAGAGATGGGAGATGTCTCAGATGTCCAGAGCTCTCGTCTGAGTGGTCAGTGAGGTGTCAGATTTAGGAGCTGGGGGTCCTGCAGAGAAAAGTCAGGTGCTTAGCTCATCCACCAAACAAATAAATCACACCCTGACACCTCAGACTGCTGGAGACATGGGGAACACAGGAGGGTAAAGACAGCTGGAGACTCTTGTGAGCTGGACCTGTGTTTCTGGCCATGAGACAACCCAGATAAAATACAGAATGGAGCTGTCACCTCTCAGCACACACCACAGCTGCTCACTTGTGGCTGCTGATGCCCCAGAATACCAGGGACACCTTCCACTATCCCAGGTTGCTCCAAGCCCTTCCCAACCTGGTCTTGAACATTTCCAGGGATCCAGGGGCAGCCACAGCTTCCCTGGGCACCCTGTGCCAGGGCCTCACCACCCTCACAGGGACAAATTCCTTCCTAACATCCAATCCAGATCTACTCTCTGTCAGACTGAAGTCATTGCCCCTTGTCCTGTGACTCTTGCAGTCTCTCTTTGTCTCTGGAGTATTCCTACACCACAAAAACTCTGTATTGTTTTCACCACACACCAACCCCAGCAATCAGCAGGTACTTTTTGGAGGTTGTAGGGGGCTGGAGAAGGGGCTCTGATGCTGAAACTGGGAAAAGCCCAGTGATTCTGCTTGCTTTTGGTGCATCAGCACTTCCCTGGAGGAATTCCTCTTACCATTTGCAGCATTTTAGCTTCCCACCGCGGCAGGTCCCGATGTCAACCAGAGGGGCAGAGCAGGGCACGAAGGAGCAGGAGCCCCGGCTCTGCCGGCAGGCGAGGGTGTCAGCGGCTTCCTGGCTGTAAGCTGCAAAAAAATGGGAAAAAATCATGTTTGTTTGTCCTGGCAGAGGACTGGTGACTTGAGGAATGAGATTTACCCGTCAGCATGCTAAGGTTTTTATCATCAAATTAGATTCCATCCCTAATTTGAAAGGCTTTATTCTAAATCAGGCTTTATTGTAAGTCACGGCTTTATTCTAAATATTTATTCTAAATATTCTATAATATTTTAACCACCTGGTCCCGGTGATTCTCCAGTCCTTTCTCTTAGTCACATATTGTTCAAGGATTACATGTTTTTGATGTCACTCAGCTGATTTTACTCTGGTTCCCTTATCTCTTAAATTAAAAAGCCCTGGGGTGTTTTATACGTATAATCTTTATGAAGAGATAGCAAATAACTGGTGGCCCTTTCCTCAGAGATTTTACTGGAATTGTAGCAGTCCTGCAGCCATCTCAGGGGTCACAGGGTGTTTTAATATAAATAAATGCACATTTTGTAGTGCATGAAGTAGGAAAAGCCCAAGAAGGCAATCCCAAAACAACTAGTGCAGATTTTGTCTCAATGGTTCTACATTTCTTCTGTGAGTAGAGAGACATTTGATGATCTAAGAAAGCTGGTACAAATTTGAGACTACTGCAAATCAAACTGAGACTACTTCAGCTGCTTCAAGGACACCCAAATAGCCTGGAATGATACATGGGCTCCAAAACCACTTACTGCATGTGGACAATACAGGCAAAGAGTTCAGGCAAAAAGCAACAGTCAAGATAACATTTTTTTTCCAAAAACAGATGAGGTGTTCTAATCTAGAATATATGGTCAAGGACATGTGGGTGAGAATGTGAGAAGAGAAAGCTCTCATGTTGCTGGGTTACATCTTTAGTATTATTCTAAGATTTGCTTCAATAAAATCTTCAGGAAATTGTTCAAGTTGGAAAAGGGTCCTTGGATCCTCCATGACCAGTGAGTCCAACCATCCCCAGCACTGCCAAGGCCACCACTGACCCATGTCCCCAAGTGCCACATCCACACAGCTTTTAAATCCCCCCAGGGATAGGGACTCCACCACTTCCATGGACAGCTGTGCCAGGGTTAGAGAATTTCTGGTGAACAAATGTTTCCTAACATCCAATCTAAACCTTCCCAGGTACAATTTGATGTAATGTTTCCTAACATCCAATCTAAACCTTCCCAGGTACAACTTGATGTCATTTTCTCTCGTCCTGTCCCTGTTCCCTGGGAACAGAGCCCTACCCCCTGGCTGTCCCCTCCTGTCAGGAGTTGTGCAGAGCCAAAGGTTCCCCCTGAGCCTCCTTTTCTCCAGGCTGAACCCCTTTCCCAGCTCCCTCAGCTGCTTCTGGTGCTCCAGCCCCTTCCCCAGCTCCGTTCCCTTCCCTGGACACGCTCCAGCCCTTCAATGTCTCTCTTGCCATGAGGGTCCCAGAAGTTTTCCCAGCACTGGAGATGCCCCAGCAGTGCCAGCACAAGGGACTCTGCTCCCCCAGAGCTGGTACAGCCCAGGTTCCCTTGTCCTCTTGCCCACCTGGGCACACCTGGCTCATGTCCAGCTGCTGTCAGCAGCACCCCCAGGGCCTTTTCCAGTTTTTGAGCCACTCTGCCCCAGCCTGGAGCTGCAGGGGTTGATGTGAACAGAATTTGACCTTCCTGACCCTCACACAATTTGCCTCATCCCACGGATCCAGCCTGTCCAGGTCCCTCTGCAGATCCTTCCTGCCCTCCAGCAGATCAACGTTCCTGCCTAACTTGGTGTAATCTGCAAATTTGCTAAATTTACCCTCAGTCTCCTCATCTGGATTATTCATTAGGATACCAAACAGGACCAACCCCAGTACTGAGCCCTGGGGAGCACCACTGGTGAGAGCCTCAGTTGGACTTAACTGCATTCCCCACACCTCTCTGGGCCTGGACATCCTGATAGTTTTTAACCCAGTGAACAGTGCACCCATCCAAGCCATGAGCAGCCAATTTCTCCAGGAAAATTCTGTGGGAAATGGTGTCAAGGATTTACCAAAATCCAGCTAGATACCTAATCCACTAAATGGGACACCTTGTCATAGAGGAGATCAAATTGGTCAAGCAGGATCAGCTTTTCATGGACCAATGCTGGCTGTGCCTGATCCTCTGGGTGTTCTGGGCCTGCCACATGAAGGCATTCAAGATGAGCTGCTCCAAAACTTTTTCTGGCACCTAGGTCATTACAGGACCATCATTTTTTTCTCATCTTGTCATCACATGTCAGAAAGAAACCATCAGTATGACTACCAAGAACATTGAATTGATAGCTTGAAAATTAGGACAATGACCAGGAAAAGCGAATTCTAATAGGAAAGCTGTGGATTCCAGGAGCAGAGAGGTAATCTGACCCTCAGCACTGGGATCTAATGAACTTCTCTGCATATTCACCCTTTCAGCATCCATCTCATCTCTTGTCAGCCTTACCTGGAGCAGCCTGGAAGAGGAAGAAGAGAACAGCGACGAGGAAGAAAAGGATTCTCATGACTGGCAGCTGGCAGCAAGGTAGCTTTGGCAGGGATGGAGACAACACCAGTGTGAACAGAAGCTGTCCGAGACCGAGCACAGGCAGTGCCTCTGCATATAAAGGCTCTGGGACAGAACAAAAGGGGGTGGAGGAGTGACTGTCTGGAGAACAGAGAGTTCATTGCCCTGTTCCCATGGAGACTGGTGAGGTAGGGAGGTGTTGCAACCTCTCACGTTAGAAGATGCCCAACCTGTGCCATGACCACGTCTTGCTGCTGACCCGAGCAGCCAAGCCACCCCGTGCCAGCTGGTGGGCTGCGCCCAGGGAGGGCACAGGATTGGAGCAGGAGGGAGGTGGGTTCCTGGGATCCACAGGGCTGTCAACCATGCGGAACTGATGGTGCCCTGTGGCTCTTGGCCATGGTCTTGTGCCAGCTTGTCCTCCCCCTCAGCCACCAGGCAGGGTGAGCTAAGGAGAAAAGTCCTCCTTGGAGACAAGAGCGTGGAGTGATAGGGCAAGGGGCAATGGCTTCAAGCTGAAAGAGCAGGTTTAGGTGAGATATTCAGAAAAACTCCTTCACTGTGAGGGTGGTGAGACAATGGAGCAGGTTGTCCAGAGAAGCTGTGGCTGCCCCATCCCTGGAAGTGTTCAAGAAAAGGTTATACAGGGCTTGGAGCAATCTGGGATAGTAGAAAATATTCCTCGCCAGGCAGGGGCTTGGAACAGGATGATCTTTAAGGTCCTTTCCAACCCAAACCATTCTGTGATGATGAAGATGAAGGCAGGAAAGGATCAAGGATTTAATCTTTGCTTGGGTTGAAGTTGTGGGGCTGCAACAGAAGGAAACAGAGCAGAAGGAAACAGAGTACGACTGAAAGGGTCATGGATATCCCCCCTCCTGGATACGAAACTGGCACTCCCAGGAGTTTTTCCAGAATGGTTCACAGCTCAGCCGCTTTCTGTACCTTTTATTTGTGACTTTAGCCATGGATTTGTACGAAATATCACAGAAGTTATTAAACAGAAAGGTCTGGAAGGGACACTGCTTTGTGTTGTGCCACGCTATCACAGGAGACTGATCCTAATTCCCTCCAGCAACCCCTAAGATCTGTCCTGAAAACAATATCATAGTCTGAACTTTCTTCCCAAGTCTAGTCTGCAAGGACTGTCTAAAATCACTCATTCTTGCCCAAATGATCTTTAATGACATTTTCCCTTGCCATCAGTCACCATGCTGAATGTGGTTATAAAGAGACTCACATCTCTGATTTCACAGATTCAGCGTATCAAATCCAATTCTGTGTGGTGTGTCCACGTCTCTTATCATCTTGTAACTTATTTCTGTATCTGAAAAATAAAATCTAATGGTTTCTTTTTCATGCATGTGGAGATCCAGCCTTATCTAAAATGGACCAGAAGAAGTGTCACCAGAACTCTGTAAAGGTCTCTTAAACCCTTGTACTTGTCACCAAGAAATGCCACTCCTGAGACATACAGGAACGTCAAGTGAACATTTTTTTTCAGGCAAACAGGACAAACCAAAAGTCATCAGTGAAACAAAGTCACGAGGGTGATTAATTATTTACTGCTTCAGCCAGAGAGCTGCAAACTGAAACGATGGAGAGCAAGAGCAGGGGTCAGCTCATTTGTATTAAATCACTCTGTGTCCCTGTGTGCCTGGAATTTTATTGAAGGGAGTCATAGGGAACACTGCCCATCTCCCTGATTCCTGATTTGTGATCCAGGAGATGGACACAACCCCACAACACAAACCACTCTGCACAAGGCTTCAGACGGGCAGCACATGCACCTGCACCCTCAGCTTCACTTCTGGAAAGACAAAAATAAGGAAAAAACCCTGGAGTCCACGATCTTAAAACACAGACAGCTGTAAGGAAACCATCAAGGGTGAAATTTACTTGTAGAAACAACAGGATTGAATGGAAAAGGGTAAAGTGCTTTTCTACACCTTGCATAATCCCCATGTCCCAGGCAGCACAAGGGGCAGGGATGTTTAATTTGGGGAGTGAGGCTGCTGAGCAAACCCTGCTGGGCCATGATGTCACAGGTGGTTCTATGCTCTTTGGAACCAAACAACATCAGGGAGAGGGAAGGAAAGGGGGAATGGCTCCAGCCTCCTCAAATCCCTCCCCCAGCTCCAGCTGGAGAGTGGCAGCAATGCTTGTCCCAGGTCCAGCCTCCCTCCAAGGAAACATAAATGTACCTGGGGTGATAACAGCCCCCTTGAAGACTGCTTGGCACCAGGGAAAGGGAGATTGGACACAGTGCTCCACTTCTTCCTTCTTCTTGAGGACCAGGAAAAGATGATCCAAACAGTCTCCAGTGAACAGAGAAATCATTGAGGTGTGACTGACAGGAAGATGTTGATCTTGAGGTCTCTGTTAGAGTTAATATTTGACCTGGCAGCCAAGCAGAGGGTGGTGGATTTTGTATGGGACCTGTCCTTTTGAAGGAAAATAATTTTGTCACCCAGAAAGAGCAAATTAATCTTCAGGGAGCTTGGGAAATTTGCCTTTACACCTTGGGAAATCACCACCTGTGCCTGTATTCTGGACTGTGGGGAAACCAGTGCAAATATCTTTGGCTCTGAAATTTCCCTGCTTTTACTTACAACTGATGAGCAGTAATCTGCCTGATCAGAAGGGGACAATTAATTTAGTGACAATCTTCTCTGTCCCAGCAGTAAATAAACAGGCAGAGGCAAGAAGTGGTGTTGAGTTCCCTTGTCCTGAAGTTAAGGGCATGGAACAAGTGACAGAGGGAGGGGACAAGAGTTTGCAGCCACAGTGAAGGTGACAGGAGGCAGAGGGTACACAATGTTTGTTCTTCTTGACAGAACACTCAATAAAGGCTGGTCATGCATAAAACTGATTTTCAGTGGGGAAACTCCAGTCCTAGTGACTAAAGTGCCTGTCCAAGGCCAGTCACTGGCCACCTCCAGTCTGTGTCCTGGCCATGGAACAGAGCAGGGAGAGGGATAAGTCACTGATAGCAGATTTTTGGAAATCTGTGTTCCAATCATCATTTTGAAAACTGATCTGTTCTTCAGGTCACCAAGGATGAGCTTTTCTCAGGTCCTGCATCAGCTTTGGAAGGGGAATACCAACCAAAGCAATCTTTTTCTCCCATACCTTGAACACTATCAGAGATTGGTTTGAGCTGCTGCCCTGGCAGCCCTCCAAGGGAAAGCACCAATAGTGTCCCAGGAGGCAAGTTCTCAATAGGCATGGAATGAGGAAATCCTTGGGAAGAACTCTCAGTGGTCACGGCAGGAGAGAAGCAGGACAGAGAACTAGGAGAAGCAGATCCCTGTGGGGCCATCAACAGAGAGCAGTGGGAGCTGTCTCACATAAGGCCACGGCCAGGTTCCACTCAGGCTCATGGGGGGGTGCAGAGGTGAGATGGGCACTCAAGGGACTCTGTAGAAATTGGGCACAAATGAAGGAATGAGCCTGGAGTGAGGGCGGCTGCTGGGCTGAAGTGCCAGTCCTTGATGGACACAAAGTTCAGCATCCCGAGACAGAAATGGAGACAATCCCTTTTGGAATAACACCTCTCTGATTTACACACCAGAGATGTGTTTCATTGGGGTAGCAGGGAAATCTGAGGCTCAGTCTGTTCTGAATTTATCCAATTTAATAGCAGAGATTTTCTTCAGGATGTTGTGGTTTAACTCAAGCCGGAAATTCAGCTTCAGGCAGCTCTTGCTCACTTCTGCCCCAGTGGACTGGGGAGGAAATCAGAAGAGTGAAAGTCAAAAAATTTGTGAGTTGAGATAGAGACAGATTAATAGCTAAAACAAAATCTGTGCAAGCAAAGCAGAACAAGGAATTTATTCACCACTTCCCACAGACAGACAGGTGTGCAGCCATCCCCAGGAGAGCAGGAATCCACCACAGGTAACAGTGACATGGGAAGAAAAACTCCATCACCCCAAGTGTCCCTTCCTTCCTTGTTCTTCCTGCAAGTTTTATTGCTGAGCATGACCCCACATGGTCTGGAATATCCCTTGGATCCCCTGGGGCCATCTGTCCTGGCTCTGTCCCCTCCCAACTCCTTGTCACCTCCAGCCCTCTCTTCGGCAGGGTGAGGAGCAGAAAAGGCCTTGACTGAGTCCTGCTCAGCCATAACAAAAATCATCCCTGAATTATCAGCACTGCTCCCAGCACAAACCCAAACCACCATTCCAAACTGAGAAGTAAATTAAATCTATCCCAGCCACAACCAGCACACAGAAGGTACTTGAGGGACGTAGAACAAATCATCAATGTCTGCTTTGTAAGCTGGACATGTCCAGGCTGTGGGCAGTGAGATATCCTTGCTACAGCGTGTTCTTTAAATACTGAATTTTGTGACTGGTGTTGAAAACAGGTCTGTTGTTTTAAAACTCAGTCTATATATCACCCAAAATCTTGCCTCTGTGGAGGGATAGTTCAGACCCCATCATTGTGTTAATAAATTCAGGTGTGTATTTTAAATACATATGTATAATATATTACATTATATTACATATAATATATTATATTATGGAGGATAATTGTATGGTGACCAGCAGTATTGCAAATTTTATATATATTATATATATATATAATATATATAAAATTTGCAATACTGCTGGTCACCATACAATTATCCTCTGTGTCAAGAGTTGCCTGTAAAGTTCTTCCCACTCAGCTTTCATTCCTGTCATCCTAAATGCTTTATTACCATCATCAAAACTGGTTGCTCTTTTAGTCATTCCCTTCCCCAAATCCTTTGGGAATATGTGAGACTGCACAGACTCACTTTTTTTAAAAAATACTGTATCACTCTAAGCCTTGAGTCAAAACCAGAGAGGAAATTACTGTGAGCAACAACAAAGATCACAGGCTTTGGTTTAAGAAAACCTTTATTTTCATGTGCGAATAAAATAATAATATATATATTGCTTCACATCCTCCAAGAGCTGCATGAACCTGAAGTGATTGAACCTCCAAACACCCCGGTGAGGTAGGCTGGAATAGGTGGCCAAGGAGCCAAAGTGGCTTGAGTATTAGAAGCAAAAAGGGAGTGACTTCAGCGAGGAAAAACCCAGATCTCCAGAAGCGGTGTGCTAACAGGACATGCCCTCTGGAAACTTCTTTTAAAGCTCATTTGCAGGAGGCTTTACATGGAGGAGGAATCCATGAAAATCAGCTCCTCAAGGCAGTGGAAATGCTGCTGGTCCAAGGGCTCTGATCCAGGAAAGCCTTTTCTTCTTATTCTGCCGAAATCCTGCAAGGATGGAAAGGGTCTTGTTATTGTGCTGCAGTTCCACCTCAGGTTGTTCTCTAAAAGCCTCAATATCTTCTAATTACCTTTCAAAATGAACCTACAGGGTGGGTTCAGCCTGCAGGTTTAAAAACCTACATCTCTCTGTGTGTGTTGGGTGTCCAGCTCTGTGGATAACCAGTGTATAAGAGCTGTGGCCACTGGCAAATTAGTTATATGACCACTTGTAATGACATATTTTATTCAGTTTACACCAAAAAAAAAAAAAAAAAAAAAAGGGGGATTTGATGCAGTTGCTGAACAGAAAAGTTTGGCACATAGTGCCATCTGAAGTGGTCTGGGATATCTGCTTGGCCTCCAGACATCTAAAATTAGTGTTTTCCCTTAGAGCTAACTCAGCCAGATACATTGATATGATTTAAATACTCCAAGGCAAATCAAATGCCACTAAACATCTCAATGTACCCTGCTGAATCAAGCCCTTCATGTCTAAATTCAAAAATTTGTTTTCAAGCAACCTGAGCTGGAAAAAAATATTTATATTGTACTTCAGGACACCCTGTCGGTTTTAACTTCTGCTCTTGTATTGGTCAGCTCAGCTGAAAATCAAACAGCCAATATAAGAACTTTAATCCTGAACACTAACATCCATCAGTATCAGGTACATTCTTACAAGAAAAATTATTTCTGTAGGAAAATTACACCTGAAACCAGACTCAAGAGGTCTTGTTCCTTTCCCAGGCTCAGTTTTCTTTCTGTCAGGTCTAGCGGATGTTCTGACAGAAATTTGATGTTGGAGTTCTCCCACCTGCTCCTACCAGTCCATTTGCTATCAGTGGAAATTGCTTCCCAAGGAGGATGTGTGGTCACAGAAACTGAGAGATCACATCACTGCTTTGTGAAATTATCTAATGTCAGGTTCCTTCTGTTCCATTTGCTTTCCCAAATTCCCAAATGCATCCTTAGCATCTTATTCCTTAGCATCTTATTCTCCTGGAAACAAACCTGTCCTATTATTGGAATTACTTGGACTTCCTGAAACCACTGAGGATCCCCATATGCTGAATAAATTTATAAAACTTTTTTTCTAGAACCACTTCATCAGATTTCTTCAGTTTCTGGGAACCTTTAAACCCTAGCAATTCTATAAATAACAGAATCACAGAATAAGGAGTTCTGGAAAATTCAGATATCACAGATCTGAGCTCTCCCATTGTTTTGAGCCAAAGTCTATCCTGTCAAATCAGTGGCTGGGGATCTGCCTGAACATCATGGCTGAGATAAATTCTATCATGACACCAGTCCTCTTCACCAAAGGTACAGGAACCTCTCCTAATCTGGCACTGAATTTGGGGGTGTGAATGTCACTGCAGCTGCCAGGGACCATCTCGTGGCCATTAATGGAACAAAGTTATTCTAAGAATTAAGTACATGGAGAATATGTTTTATTTTAAACTGAAGAGCATTCCTCAAAAGCATGTTCAATACCTTAAGGAATTTTTTTAAAAAATCTGGCTATCAGGGAAACTCCAGACATTACTAGAAAGTGGTTTCCAAGGTCAAAATGAAATGCACACCCAAGTCTCCACTCACTGACAAATTCACTCCTCTTCACCTTTCTAAGTTGTGCAGTGGTGGGAGGTAGGAGAGATGGGGAGAAGTTGAAAAGAAGAGTTCTGTGAACATTTTTCCCCCTTTAAATGTACATTTTCTAGGTAAATTTTAAAATAAAAACAGAGGGATGATAAAAATCTTCCCCTGATGGGTAAAAATATTAACAAGTATTTTCCTAATAATTTCTTGAAAAAAACTTCCTTTGTTTTCCCATAAAAATTCAAAATAAAGTGAAAAATACTGAATTCTTGGAAATTTTGACCGTTCTGAACTCTTTCTCCTATACATAACTTCCATTCAAATGAATTTTCTCCCTAAACACACATCAACATTATACACGTGCTCCTCCTCCCTCTGGACTTTCCCACCGAGGGTTGCCCTGCAAGGCCCCCTGAAGTTTTGCTGATTTTTCAGAGAAACAGTAGAGAAAACAGGGAACCTTCTGAGGTGCCTGAGCTGTTTTGTCACCTACTTGGAGCAGCAGTTCAGC